ACAAAACACCTAAGGTAATCTCTACCGTATCCCTTCATTATAGGTCACCAAAACCTACTAATAGCACCTATTAAACTACTAATAAAAGGTATCTTGTTCCAATTAATACACTATTTACCACTAGCCCTACTGATGGGCCTATTACTGAAAACTGCACCCACAACAACAACATAAATTTCACATCATTGTCTACCAAAACCTTTCCAATAAATGATCTTATTCTTGAGCATTATCTGGATGATAGGCTTATGTAAAACATGGTTGAAATCTTCTTACTATTAGTTTAAACCTCCCCACCCAACTATATTAATGTCCATGTTGCTCGGGCCTCTAGCAAGGGGGGTTGTTGCCCTAATCTGTAAGTCTATTTTTAATTTAACCACCAAGTGGGCGATTAAATGGTCACTTACTTCAATTTTTTAGAAGAAGTTGGAGACTTATGCCACAGCATAGAACACTGGACTTCCTGTGAGTGTCAGCCCTAACTGTTTCTTCTGACTCATCTGCAGTGTCAGACCACTTTCTAATTAAATATGAAACAAAACTAGCCTGTCCTTGTAATGCTGGCACCAATGTTTTTACCACTCGTCACATTGGTGCCGCCACCTTCAACTGCTCTTAGTGAGCAATTGTCTGTGGTCCTGGCTCCTTTCACGACAGAAACCTTCCATTCTTTTCAAAAGTACTAGAAAGAGTTCTGTCTCAGCAACTTTCTGCACTCTAAATTAACAAGGATCTTTTTGAATCTTTACAGTCTGCTTTCAGGACCTGTCATTCCATTGAAACTGCACTTACCAAATTTGTAATTTACATTTTATTTAGTATTGGCTCAAATTCCACCTTGGTTCTTCTATTACTGAATCGCAGTGCAGCATTTGTTACCATCGACCACGGCATACTCCTGGACTGGCTCAAAAGCTTATTTGGCATCTCTGGCCTGGCTCTAGCTTGGTTAAAGTCCTACCCAAAGTCCGACTCAATTTGACACAGTTTCTTAGACTTTGATTAAAATATTCCTCAGGAATGACATGACAAACATATTTCAACTATAAAAGGTTTTTCAGGCTTGATATTATATAATGTTAAAAAAATCGGTCACACTGCAAATGTGTCATTTATATATAAAATATGTCTTGTCATAAAGAAAATTCAGGAAAAAATATTTTGTACTTTGTATATTTGTGTGAATGCAGGGTATCGAAGTTCACATTTTTCAATTACCTCTGGCTGCCATCTGGAACCGCCACCACCACTCAGGTGTTGCTTTGGCCAATCTTTCTTTTATTTAATGTGTGTTTGAAAAATACATCTAATGGAAGCACATGCTGAAATTCTAAAATACAACCCAAATATTCTAATAAGTGAGATTGTGTCATTTTAAAACTTTTTGTCATATTAGCTAAAATAACAAAGTGAATCTAATGAGAGCTTCCCATGTTGCATGAAAAAAACTTGGTGGATTTGCCCTTTTTATTTTTAGTGTCAGGTATTATTATTCCTTCTCTGACGGTTGCAAATAATATGCAAAATTATACGCAAACTTAAGAGAAAAGAAACTGGTGGCATAACCAATACCATGTTATTGTGATGTTCTGGGTTAAAAATCTAAGAGATCTGCTTTCACATTTCTCTCTCTTATGTTTCACATCTCTGTCTTCTCTGATTTATCTAATAAAGGCAAAAAATATTCATGACAACAACAGGCGAGCACTGCAGTCCATCTGAGAAAGCCAGATTCACTGGTGTTGCCTCTGTCTCTCCATAATCACTTTAATTCCCTACAACAGGCATTAATATCCTATTGCAAATCAATCAACCAGAAAGGATTTCTCACATTATAGTAAAATATTAACACCTTAGGTGGAACAAATGAAAGCACAGAGAAAATAATTTGGCAAAAATATCTAAAAAATTTTTTTGCTGGCATTAAAGTAACCTTTAGTCTCACAAGGATATATACTACACACAACATATGAGCAGTCCATTACTTTGAATTTATTTGTCTGCTGCTTTTTCTTTTCTCATTTTCCCCCTGTGATTTATTTTCACACTGTATCACAGAGCTAAGAATACATGCTGTGGCTGGGATTCTTCTGCCCCGGCATTGAAAGAACTATCATTCTCAGCTCATATCGCAGTGGTTTCGAGAGCCATTAGTGCATGCCATACATATTTATCAAGAATCAACACATCCAGGCTGCGTATCAAACTTGATAAACAGGAGTTTATATCAAACATCCAGTTCTGTCAAGCGTGAAAGTGATATATTTTCAAGCACATCTGTAACTATTACCAAACATTTTACTGGCAGATCTATTTCGGCTGTCAGCATGCAGCCTACTATACTTTTCTCTTGCATGATGACACAAGCCACATTAACAACTTATTACGAGCGTTTACATCAGTTCCTGCAGTAATCGCTAAACAAAGACCATAATACACACTGTGAACTCCACAGTAGCAGATGTATCACACACTTCTCAGACAAAACTCATTGGCACCTTACCTAACACAGGGTAAGGGGTCCAATTGCATCAGCAATAAACTGCTGTGGAGACGAGAAGAAGAGAGCCCCACAAAAACAGGTGGGTGAGCACAGAAAGGAATGATGGGATGGCAATAGGAGCCGTCTGTGATTGGAGCATTCCTAGCCCCAGTAAACCTTTCTTCTCTCTCCGCCATGTGCAGAGTGTTGATAAGAGACATCATCCCACTGACTCATTAATCAACTGTGAAATGTACAGCTACCTGCCGCTTTCTTATTCCTGTGCCCCCAAAACCCCTCCGCTTCTCCTCTTTTACCCGTCTGTATAGAGAAGAAACAAACTGGACTCCACAAGGATTCCTTTTGAAAAAAAAAATAAAAATGCTCTCCTAGCAAATTTGCTGTTTCAAGATTCTTTACTCCTTCCCAATCATATCCGCATGCACACAGCCTTGTGTACACATGTGTTCACACACAGAAACGAGCGTGAACACAAACTTGGTGTTTAAACACTGGAATGCAAGGACACGAGGGTAAAAGAAGTGCCCACAACTCTGCAACTGGTTTGCACTTCTGCAGCTGAGCACTCTGTTCTACACACACAGACACACGTCGATTAGATTTCTGTCTGAGTAGCTTAAATTATGGTTGTGCAGACAGATAACCATATCATTTTAGCTTTACATCTAACAACCAAACCCAGCTGCCACCGTTTACTTTTTACCCCTATGAAAGTTTTATATTCTGCCTCCTTTCAAGCTGTCCCATTGCTGCACTCCTGCACCTGTAATATCACCCATTAAATCCCTGTGTGTTCTGTAGGTCTCCTGCATGTACATTCTCTTAAGCTGTGTAAGAACTGCTGATATCCTGTCTTTTTCACCCCAAACTCAGACCCACTCTTGGGAGGGTAAAATAAAGAGAGGGCAGGTTTAGAATTTTGATCAGTTTATTTGCATTTTCTACATGTCAAAATCCTTAATTTATCCGCAAGTTTTGATCGCCTTTATGGGAAGCTGACTATATAATCACTCGCACTGCGTCATCAATTTTTCTGAAAAGTAAGCAACAAACTGACCAAATCAAAGTTTGATTAATAGGCAGGGAGGTATAGGCAGCATTGTTCTGGTGACAGCTGCGTAAACAGGGAGCCCAGAGAGCTTTCAGCTGTAAATTTTCTGATTGAGCAGACTGTAAAATATACACAGCAGGGCAGAAGTTCATTTTCATGTTGCATTTATGGAACAGAATATACTACTAACAGGTAAACGCTATAATTTACATTTATGGCATGCTGCGGAGGCATTTTGCTCCACATAGAATGAAAGCCAAAAAAACATTTTATGTTGTCAAAACGGTTGAATGTGAAGTGTCAGTCAGTGACTTCTCACAGTACATAACCCAGAAACAACATCAGACTCCTGTTATCATCCAGGCACAAATGCTTCAGTCTGTTTGCATTTTCCCATGTCCCAGTAATAATCCTGCTGTAGACTCTACTGAGCTGTAAATTATTCAAGCACAATGTAAAATACATAGAGGTGTAAATGACTGCAAGTAAAGAAGGGCCAAACTGTCAAACTGGACAAACACATCTCGCAATAGTGAGCTCAAATTTACTATATTTTAAATTTAATATGAGAATGTAAACATAGAAAACTAATATGGTTTCCATGCTATAAAAAGGATCCATGTCTGTGTTGGAGAAACAATCTTGAGCACTGGGTTGTGTCTGTGATTGGGTCTGCACTATATTATGGCTGTATTGCATTATGGACTACTGGGGCTGCCGCAGAATTGGCAGCTCTGCTTCATCTTTGATGGATTTCTCTCAAACACTGAGACTGACTTTTGCTGTTGATGCCAGAGACCTATTTTAGATAGATGATTAGATAGATTTGTTTAAGTTGAACTGTTTGCAAACCTATTTGCTATTTTTTACAACAATATTTCGAAATCATGTATTCTATACCATGAGAGTAATTTAGAGCAGTGTGTAAACTTTTATAAGGGTACATTATAATTCAAAAGGGCTGCAGCATTGCCAGTAACAATATCTGATAAAAAAAATAAATGCTTGAAATGGGTTGTAGACAGAAAGCACAAATTATGTATTCTGTGTCATTTTATCTTTTAAAATACTTTGGTTGTTTGAAATGATGACTGATGTTACAAATGTGTGATTATTTGCTATAAGACTGGTGAAAAATCTCTAAAATGGAACTGCCTGTACTTTTTACCTCGAAGAGTAACCATATCTTTTGACATCCAAAATGATAACAAGGCTGAGCCAAAACATCAAACACGATGTCACTGTTAAAATGTGTTGAATGTGGAGCTCAGGATGAAAAATTATACATATTATATTCAAGTGTCTGACATTTTATATTCTCAGAAGCCCAGAGAAGTAAACCCACCAGTTTAGGTAATGACTGTAATTTCTCCCAGACCTGACCACAGTGTATATGGTGCAACCACAGTTAACAATAACATATTGAGCAAAGTTTAATTTGACATCTGTTCCTGTGACAGATTGTAAACCTTTTTCTAAATCAGTCGGTAACATAAAGCTGTTTGGTTCAGTAGCATGCATTTATGTGGCAGAGCGCTAGACTTGATGTGCCGCCTGAAGACATAAACATTTTGGTGGAAACACTGATTGTGCATCAGTCAACATTTATTCAGTGCAAGGAAAAAAATATGTATGCATAAACATACAAAAATACATCTTTCATTGGCAAACATGCCAATGGAAGTTTGAGTATTTTCTCAGCATGTCAGAGGCTGTATATGTTGAAAAGAAAAGGAATGCACCATGGCTAAAACAATATTCTTATTCTTGTTTAAATACAGTGATATATTGGCTGAAATAAAGTTCCAACACTATTCAGTTTGTTTGTTCTTGTTTGCAAATATACTGTAATACAGAATATATATAATACATTAGTCCTCTCAATAGTGGACACTGCTGATTGGCTGAAGAAATCAGCTCCTCTAGTTTTAAATAGTGAAATCTATCCACTGGAGACTTTCCAGATGTAATGCTGCATTGTGAAAGACTTCAGAGAGTTTTTTTTAAAGGATAGGTTAATATTTTTAATATGACACTCACATGTCCATATATTACGGTTGCTGTCCACACTGGCCCTGATGAGATTTCTTTCTAGAGTTACTCCAATACAGGGGACAAAATCCACAGTACTTACAGCAAATAGCTTTCTCAATATATATGAGGCCTTTCAGTATTGAAAGTACTCGAAAATATGTGAACCAATCCTTTATGAAGTAAATTTAGTGTAAGTTAGTATAAAACTGCCGCCTTCTTGCTGGGATATAGATGGAAGATCGATACCACTCTCACTTCTGTTTGCTAAATAAGCCAGTAGCCAGTTAGCTTAGCACAAAGAATACAAACAGAGGTCTGTCCAAAGGTAAATAGTTAATTTGGCACCTTTGGAGGTGCTGGTAGTCATATATTGTTACCTTTGGACAGGGCCAAGCTAGCTGTTTCCCTGTTTATGCTAGCTAACAGGCTGCTGGCGCTAGCTTCATATTTAGTGTACAGACATGAGAAGGGTATCAATCTTCGCATCTAACTCTTGGCAAGAGAGTGAAAGAAAATGTATTTTCTAAAATGTTGAACTATTCATTTAAGTTATTACATTTTTTAAATTAAGTTTTTCTTAAGTTAAATTTTAAAGTTGCAGCTTAATATAAACTTTGGACAAAAAAAGGACATGTTCAAATTTTTTCTGTAAATAGATATGGTCATATATATGTGAATTGAGGCCTACAGTATGGGATCTGTAAAATATTTTATGAAAGGAGGAACAATAGAGTTAAAAGGCTGGGTCACAGGCACTCTCCAAAACTGGTGGATGTCCTTACCCTCCAAAAACCCTGCCGTTAATTACACTATGCATCATAACCTCATCTCTGAGGGGATAGAGCGAACTCCCACACTGGCAATTTAAACTACTCCTTATAAGCTACTTTTCTCCTGCATGTAAACATAGCCGCATACACATTGTAATAATTGTCCACACACACTGAGTGAACACAGCATGATACTCACACACAGGTTATGGCTTTCCAAGCTGTTTGAGCTCGTTTAATCTCATCCCTGTATACATTCTTTATGATCAAACCTTTATAGACAAATATAAACGCAGATAATGAAGGCCTTCCATTAGTACCAATACTCAAAACAGAGCCATCTTAGGTTAACAGTAATGTCCATTCAAGGTACTGAAGATATAATTCGGTTGAATGAAAGAAATTTTATATACATGACAGAATTATACACATGTGCAGGTGGACGTATGGCGTACACCCACAGTTATCAACAACAACATCTCAAATGACCAAAGAACCATTAACTGGTAATGTTGCCGTATTTAGTTCTTTTCACAGCCTGCTGAAAAAGTTTACTGTAGTGCCCAAATGAAAGAGCTGTACTGTAAATTGATTATGGTCACGGATACTATACCAACACTTAGAACACTGAGTAGGCTTTACAGTTTAGAGTTTACACTTGTGTTGAAGAGACAGAATGTGATCATCCCCCATCCCCGCCCCTAAATTTGTGGTCTGTTCATCCAAGAGAAGATTAAGTCGAGAACCAATTCAAGACAAAAAAAAGTGACTGATAGCAGAAATGTCTCTTTCTCTCTCTCTTTTTGCCTGCACTCTACCCCATTTACCTCTTGCTTATTCCTTTTCTCTCTGCAACAATTTCTTTACTGTCAATCCTGTCTTCTTTTAATTATGTTGTTCATTCCCTCTCTCCCTCCTTTGGTGAGAAAAGTGCAGAAGTCTTTAACATGATCAGCTTCAGTCCTCCAGGTTTTTGTCTCTCAGTCAGAGGGAGATTCATTCCCAGAGAATGGCCTTCTTGGTTTCTCCTACCAAGGGACTTTTTAAAGCCATGTGCTTCATCACATTGGTCCGCCCTAACAATACATCAATTGAACAACAAATTCACGATAGTAAAATTTCAATATTTTCCACCTCTTTCTTCTTCTTTTTGTTTTTTTTCTTCTTTCATAAATGCCATTTACGTCAACTGCCTGGAGATTCAGCCTTCTTAATATCAGTCTCAGAAATAACACCTTCTGCTTTTGGGATCAGCTTGTGGGTGGATGACCTCTTTTTTCTCCTCCTGGCGCTTCTATAAGGCATGCTGGGCCAGGACCAGAGCCAAAGCCAGGCCGGGAACTAGAGCCCAGACATTGGCACACAGACAGGCAGAGTGATCCTCTGGCAGGCCCCTGGTTTTGTCCAGGCCACCGTCTCTTGGTTCAGGATACTGGTCAGATAGAGGGACACACAGAGGGAGAGAGATGTGTAAAGGTTAGACATGACTCAGTCACTCGTGCTGAGGGAGGTAAGACAGGACAGGATCAGAGCTGAGGAGAAGAAGAGAGAGCAGGAGTCAGAAAGTCAGAGCAAGAGTAAGAAATGACATGTATCCATGGCAGACCCACTTTGGCACGAACATTAAGTGTTTGATCCACCAAATGTTTTGATAAGTGAAGTATATTTCAAGCCCCTGCTGCTTAGTATGCTCTCTGCTTCTTAAACAAGTTGGCAACAAAGGAAAGCTTCTTGTGAGGACTTTTTCTTTAAAAAAAACACTTTTAGGTTGTTCCAGCAAGTCTCTAAACAGTTTTTAAAGCTATCATTACAGACTTTATTTACAAGAAAAACATGCTACGAAGCCAAACACACACTAAAGAAGCCAACAGCAGCTGTGGATTTCTTTCAATATTTCATAAGGCATAAATTACAACACGTAGTGGCCGAGCAAAGCACTTGCAAGACCCCTTGTATGCAGTTTGACTGCACAATCAAAACATTACAATGTTTATTATTACGCTCAAGAGAAAATAAACATATGTACAGTGTGCAAACTGAGAGAAAGCCATGTAGTTTACTACACCATTCATGGCAGAGAGCAGTGGGAACACATCAGACCAGATATTAAACTCTATGGCCTGCAGTTCCACTGTTATATCCACACTACAATGGCCTTATTATGTGCTTTTCCATAAAATTGTTAGCATTTTGAATACTTTTTCAATTTTCTGGGATTCTTGTAACACAAAGCATAACCATTTGCCTCCAAGTTAAAGCAGTCTCGCTCAATTTGCGGAGGCACCATTTTCAGTCCAGCACAGCAATACAGAGGCACATCATAAGGAACATGAAACATTTTCTCGTCCTCCTCCTCCTCCT